TAAATAATCGGTTAAAAAATCGATAACAATATCGATAAAAATGTCAATAAAAAATTCGATAAAAATATCGATAACAAAACCAATAACAAAATCGTTAAAAATATCGATTACAAAACGATAACAAAGCCGTTAAAAATATCGATAAAAAAATCGATAGAAAAATCAATCGATAAGTTCCGAAAATATCGGTAGAAAAATCGATAACAATATCGACAAAAATTTCGATAACAAAATCGATAAAAATATCGATAACGAAACCGGTAAAAATTTCGATTATTATATCGATATGTCACGAGAATCCCGAAAATCTTTAAAATCCCAAATATTTCCCAGATTGAGTTTCTGTGTCTCTATAATTACCTTTATTTCAATCTTTCTTCCCTATCTTCATCTTTACTTTTATCGGTATCCTCATCCTCATCTTTTTCTCTATATTTATATTTATTTTTATACCCAAGCGCACTTGTGCACAAGGGTATTATAACTTTGTTCACATAACGGTTGTTTGTAACAGGCAAAACGAATCGCGATAGATATAGACAAATGTATACATAAATAATCAGGATGAATAGAGAAATCGATTAAGCGGTGACTGTCTGTCCGTCCGTCCGTGCGTAGGACGGATGGTATTGAAAATGGGCCAAATCGGACAATAACCACGCCTACCTCCCATATAACGGTAATTTTCAGAAATACGAAAACTGCGATATTTTAGTAACTACTGAAGATTATTCAATCAAAATTGATATTTACAATAACTTTAAGACAAAAAATAAAAATATTATAAATTTTTGAAAAATGGGCGTAGCTACGCCCACTTTTGGTTACATGTGTATATCTTGGCAACCGCTACACCGATTTCTTCCAAACTTGGCACAGTTGTTGGCCTTAGTACAGCATACCAAATGGCCGAAAATTTTTAAAATCGGACAATAACCACGCCCACATTCCATATAAGGTTAATTTAGAGAAATACAAAATCTTCGATAAATCAGTAAATATTAAAGCTAATTTATTCAAAATTGATGCTTGCAACAATTATTTACCAAGAAATACGCTTATGATAAAAATTTTGGAAAATGGGCGTGGCACCGCCCACTTATGATCACATACATATATGTATCTCGGTAACCGTTCTACCAATTTGTACCAAACTCAGTGTGGTTGAAAATTATTGACATCGGACTAAAATTATGGCCGCTTATCATATAACGGTAAAATTCAGAAATGCTTGAAACTTCAATATTTCGAAATTTAAGGACGCTAATTTACTCAAAATTGATACACCCCGGCTTACCATGTAGCGGTAGCTTTCGGAAAGGTGGAAATCATATATTTAATACTTGCGCCGGGTATTTAATGTTCGGCTCCGCCCGAACTTAGACTTTCTTACTTGTTACTTTTATGTTTACCATTTCCTTCATCTACGTATTCCCCTTCACCTGTGCCCTTATGTAAGTAAAGTATTTAAATTTACCTGGTCTTCATTATTGGCTTTGTTTTTATTTTTACCTTTGCCTTTATCCTTTTCTTTATCTAAGTACATGCTCTCCTTTACTTTCATTCTTGTATTGGTCTTTTTCTAAGTGTTATTCTTTAGCCTTTTATTAGCAAGTTTTTGTTAAATTAATACCATGTGTCCCAGCCATTTCCATTGCTTTTGCCAATTTACTCCCAACCAACCAACCGCCGCTAAAGAAGTTGCACTTCAATAAAAACATAATAAATTTAAAAACAACTTTTTTTATTGATAGTTTATGTCCAAAAGTAGTTAGCTACAAGTTAGTTGACATCTAATGCAGAGGAAACCAGTTTATTTAAAGTTATCTACAATCTAGTCCCATTTCCTGCAGGGTATCTTCTAGGTTTATTTTTATACTCCTGAATCAATATGCTTCAACTTTCTCTTCCAGTTGAAAACCACGGACAGGCAAAACGAAAATTTTCAGAGGTTTGCGCCACGAGTCTTCTAAAAATTAAATCAATTTATTGTTAAAATGAAAAGGAAAGAGCTCATTCAAAATAAATTTAACTATCCTCCACGCCTAGAAAAACATTTCCCCCCTCGCCCTTCCTTTAGTTTAAATATATGTACATATTTCCAGTTCGATCGTGTTGCATGGCCTTAAGCTAAGAGTAAGTACAAAATAATACCGTAGGAAATTTTCAAATATCCTTTACACATTTCTATTTGTATCCTAATGATATGCAACAGTTTTCGAACAACAATATTTCTTCAAACTAAATTTAGTATGACACTGCAATTGAGATGCTTTTAGTTGACTGCATTGAGCTTAGTTTATTTACTACAGGGTTATTACTTCGCCTCCCTTATAGGTGTCCGTACTATGAATGCAAATCTCTAGTGCACAAATAAGTAAACAAATTTCGAAACAAGCAAACAAAGTTGAAGCCAAATACATAGAAGCAGCTTGCACATAAAAGCTTGTTGGTGGTGTTAGGGAGAGCGGGGAAACTTTAAACGAATTTGAAGGTAAAAGTTAGCTATCAGACAACTGCAAATGATGGCATTAAACATTTTGGCAAATTAAAATGAAATTCAGATCGAAACGATAAGTGGCAGAACAATAAGGATAGTAAAAAGTAGAACTTGAAACTTGAATACTGCTTAGAAATTGTGAGAAACTTAAGCGAAGAAGGTATGAGAATAAATCACTTGGAAGGTTAGTGGGGACAAGAGAACTAAAGAGGTATCTTCATGAATGGAAGTGGTGGAGAAGAAAGATATGAATGAGCGAGGTGGGTATAAAGTTTGTGGCATTGGAAGCGAAACCTAGACACAAGCTAAGTCGCATAAAAGTATGCAACAGCAGTTTCACTGATTTTAGTTTTAGTTTTTGTTAGCTGCCTAGAAACTTTTTACTATGGATGCGTTTAAAATGTGTACGCAAGTGGCATGAAAACAATAAATCGGTGAATATGTATGCAATGTAGACTGCAATTTGTTGAAGCAAAAGTCGAGACACACACTTAACGATACAATAATGATATTGAAAAGTAGAGGTTGAGTAATTTTTTTCACAGTTAAAAAGTGCAAAGCTGACAAACTAAAACGAACACACCAAATGAATATTGGCGAGACAAGAAAGTTTGAGAGGCCAGAACAAAGCACACTTGCACACAAATGTGAAAAAGCTCATAAATTGAAGTGGCAATAAAAGTGGCAAAGATTTAAGGCGTAAGAGAAGGAAATAGGTTGATAGAGGGAATGCAGAGTGCAAAAATTTAAAAGTTTCGCAGGACAGATGAGCAAAAATCGGTAATAACAAATCGGTAAGTAGAAAATTGTAAAGCAATTAAAATCGGGGCGCTCACTTATGTATGTTACACAGAACAAACAGAAGCGGTAAGTACTTATAAGCAGAAGCAAAGAAGTGGTATTAAAAGACCATCGCCTCTGCTTCCGCGATCATCTCAATTACGTTAACGTTAATTACGTTTTTCCACAGTCTGATGGAAAACACTGGAGACCGAAGCAACACTCCAGAATGGCACTACCAAGAATAGTTAAATCTTTAGAAACAAACAAAAAAAAAAATATGTATTGTAAATTAAAATTTTAATAATTCTTCTCTGCGGCTGTTAATTGAAACAACTTAAGATTCTTAATTTTAAAAAATTTCATATAACGCTAGCTTAGAGTGAAAAGTCGCTAAGTCCACTTTTTATGAAAACTCATATTTTGATATAGGAGGCTAAAGAAATTGAATACGCATCGTTTCGAAAATTATAAAGGTACTTGTTTTATTTTTTCCCCTTCATAAGCAATAAAAGGAAAATTTGCTAAGTCCAAAAGAAGCACCACAAATCCGATAAGGCCAAAATAATACCACATCTTTTAATAAATATCGAATCCTTCTGATTCTTATGGAGTTTTGCTTTGCTTTAAACGCACAAAATGTTTGATTCAATGTCTTGCGCAATAGTTAAAGAAAATGGCTATAGGAAGATTTTTTCCTCTCCTGTAAAATTTTTAAAATTGGACTTAGCAACTTTTCTTTCTAAGCTAGCGATATTTTAAACGTTTGCAAAAAACACTCATTTTTTGATATTGAAAATAATCAGATATATTTTTTTAATTTTTCTATTTCTTGAAATCTTTGAAAAACTAAATTTTAATTTTTTGAAAAATAATGAAAAATAAAAATCCATTTTTATTAAGTCAACATTTTCTTACTTATTTTCTCTGAGGCAATTAAAGATTTTCATTTGAAAGTCAAACTTCCGATTCAATTTCAACAAGTTCAGCTCACGAATTATCGGGACATGAAATTTCTTTGTTAAAACAAAATTGTAACACGTACTTTAAATATAGACACTTTAATATATTTATAAAAGTGCGGTTATGTATTCCGAATATTTTTCCAAAAATTTGCTTTTCAAAACTGGTAATGGATTTAAATTTCCTCTCTGAGTCTATTAAATGAAAAACTTTTAAATTTTAATTTTTCCAATTTTCATAAGTCGAACAAATTTGCAATAAAGTACATTATTTTTTTATGTGTTCTAAACGCTTAAATTTGATACCATTTAAGAACTTTAGAAATAACAAATCATTTTTTTACAAAATATTTAAAAATAATTCTTTAGAAATAAAAGATCTCTTTATATATATATATATATATATATAATATATTTAAAAGTAATTCTTTAATGTAAATTTAAATTTTCATATTTCTTCTATGAAGCTGTTAATTGAAAAAAAACTTAAAATTTTCATATATTTTTCTAGTTTGATATAAAAAAATTTTGCATTTTATTTTTAAAATTTTTTATTTCTAGAACACATTAAAAACAAAATTTTAATTTTTTGAAAAATAATAAAAAAGAAACATTTTTATTTTACATTTTCTACTTTTTTTCTCTGGAAGAAATTCAATCAAAATCGAACTTCCGATTCGAATTTCAACAAGTTGAGCACACATAAATGCATAAGTATTTCCAAAAGTTATATCATATTCTTTGTTGGTAAAACTTACATCAATCCAATGTTCGCCTGGAAATACCGCAATCAACTCCGTATTCTCATCTAACGTACGAAAATACTCCTCATCATCAATTTCAGTGCCATCGGAATCCAAATGTATGGTCGGTAGCTGATCATCGACATGTTCGAATTTTTCGCCCACTTTGGAGCGCAACTCCTCCAGCGTGCCAGCGACGACGGCCTTCTTAATATTTCGCGTGACATCCTTGATCTGAAAAATGAAAAATAAATGAAAGTGGATTAGATAATTTCGAAAATATGTTTAATTTGAATTAAGTTTTTCTGATGGAAAAAAAGTTTGTTCACTAAAATTTCGATTGCCTGTTGAAGCCAAGTAAGTAGATGGCATATATGTAATTATCAGCGAGCTCATGCTTAGGCTACAAATTTGCTTTTAACAGTTAACACAAAAATCATATAAAAATTTTGAAGGACATTTTACGCTCGCCGCACATATTCCATTGCATGCGCTAGCAGTCACAGACACTTTTGATTGGTACTTAAAAACAAAAAAATTAAAAGTTTTATTTTTCTTCGTTTCCCTTTTAACTTCTAATCATCTCTGCCCCACTGACTCTTCGTCTCCAATATGCAAATTTAAATAGCATTCATAGTTATTGCAAAAATTTCCTTTGTTTAGACACCACTTAAAAACACAAAAGGGACACCAATTTACTGCGCTGCTGGCACACAAATGGGGAGAAAGAGCAAAAATTGCATTTGCTTTTGTTTTTTGTTCAGAGGAAAAAAGCATTGGTTTGAGGAAGGCATTAAATGCTTAAGCCACATTAAATTTCGATTTAAATAACATTTTGTATACATATCTTTCAAAAGCTTATGCCGAATACTAAAAACCAAATTCGGTTGGGACAAACCTTTATTTCCTTAGTTATATGGTCCTTTTTGGCGCTAATTACCACTTGTGATAGCTAATTGTTTTTTGAATGCAAAGGATATTGGGCCCAAAGAGTGTATTCAAAGTATGAAAGAGCTGAAAGGCTCAAATGGTTCCGGCGCTTAAAGCTAAAGCGGTGGCTGACGCATATTTTGTGTTATTGATAGTCTGTCATCTTAAATTATTGCATACTTTTAGTATTAAAGCTATATAAATAAAAATAGCTCACCTATAAAGTGACTAGAAATTTCATTTCGCTTTTAAATTCTCACTAAAATCGCCAATTTAAGAAAAATTCGCTAATTGACCGCTAGCGATCAGCATTTCAATGTAGGTGATATTAAATGGTTTACACCCTAAAAGTATGCAACGTAAATCATGGTGTGTCATTTATTATGCCTGCGCTTATGCCTCCGCTTGCTGGTGCGAAAGCATAGCGGCAAAACAATTAATCAAACTGCCAATAAGAGTAGAATGTATTGTGGTGGTAGAAAATGTATATCCTTTGGATGGATGGATCAAAGGGCAAATACAAATACACAAAAGTGTCTGAATATATGTATATGTAAGTACATACATACATTCATATATATGTACATATATGTAGGGATCGAGATACATTTACCACTAGCAAAGAATGGCTTTAATGCCAACATACAAGTAAATGCATTGGATACAACGTGCTAGTGCCTAAAAGTATACAACAGAAAAGTAAATAAAGCGTGATTTATACAAAGAAAGCAAGAGGGAATACGAAAAAAGATTGGGAGCAGGAGCGGCGGCAGATTGGTAGCAAGTGAAATACTACGAGACTAAAGTTGTGAAGGAAGAAATCAAGTAAAACACAAAATATGAAAAAAGGAAAACTTGCACAGCGAAACGAAATAAAGGCGTGCAGAATTGGCAGGTGGAATGCTGGAAAGTTTGAGAATAATTAATGTAGCGGCGTTGCAGGCAGACAAGTGTAGATTAACTTCAAAAGAATGGATTTGAGGGCTTAAGGCATACCGTTGCGAAGCATAAAATTTCACAAATCTGATAACAGCGAGTATAACTTTGGCGGCGGCAGAAAGCGCATTTTCGGAGCTTTAATGAGAAACTGTAGCAACTTAACGGAAAGAACCATTAAATAATTCATCAACAGAAAAGTACCCACTTTGTTAGCGATATATATGTATACATGGGTAAGCATATCGATAAACAACTCGTTATTGATATCGATAAATACATAAATTTATTTAAAATGATTTTGAAAAATTTGTATATCCATATATAATTTTTCCGCAACGTAGGTTGTTATCGATAAATATTTCGACAATTATACCGATAACTAAAAACCAATAACGATATATATATTCTACATCCAAAAGATGGCGGCATGTAAATATATGCTAAGTGATAACGATAATTAAAGCGAAATCAATAAAAAAATTCGACAACATTTATCAATGAATAAAAAAGTATAAAAATAAATATTTGGCGATAAACATTTGCTGGTGCTTGGCCGAGCTTCTGCTTTGATTTATGGTGTTCGCCTTGATTTTGTCACACTTTTCAATGAGACGCTTTTTTTCATTGCTGAAATACACTCGGAGGTTTGCTATACAGCTGGAATCTGGAATCAAACTCTGGACCTACCGAGTGATAGTGCGCACCTCTAACCACTCGACCCTGATGACCGCATTTATGGATAAATACAGCAATGAAAATATCAATTCAGAAATAAAGTGTTACCAAAGCAAATGTCGTCATCGCGTTGAGTAGTCTGCGGCAAAGTATTACAGTTTCCGGATCAATTATTGCAAATCTTTGAGCTTTTAAAGCTTGCCAGGCTATCAAAAAAAATTATAAATACGAAGTATTCTGTGTGACTTCTCTGTTTGCAAATAGTCAAAAGCTTCCTGTATAGCAGCCAATTCGGCTTGAAAGACACTGCAATGGTCTGGTTGGCAAAACGAATTTGGTAGTACTAGTTGTTCCGAGTGCGCGCTTTCAACGAGCTTGTTGTCCAGCTTCAGTGTAAAATCCAATATCGTTAATAGCAGGGACATAGCAGTTATAAGTTTTATCGCAAAAACGTTGCTTCATAACAGTTATTAGATGAGAAATATTTTTTATTTCGTTGATAAGAGTTATAGCCCAACGTTTATTTTTTACGTTACCTGATAACTGTTATGCCGGGGAAATATTTTTTCCGTTGCCAATAAGAGTTATTTCCCAACGTTTATTTTTTACGTTGTTACTGTTAAACGTTGTAAGATTAGGATATTGATGAAGATGGAGATGGAGAACAAGATAAAGATGATGAAATAAAAGTGAGAGAGTGAAACAACTCTTATCCGACAACGTAAAAATAAACATCGGGCAGTAACTGTTATCAAGCAACGTAAAAAATAAACGTCGGGCAATAACAGTTATCAAGCAACTTAAAAAGTAAACGTTACGAAATAACTCTTATCGGCAACGGAAATAATATTTCTCCTTTAATAACTGTTATGAAACAACGTTTTCGTTAAATTTCAGAATTTGGGCAACGTTTTCAATTTCCAAATTCGAGATAACAGTTATTTTTTGTCCCTGGTTAATAGGCCCTAGGGATTTCTACACTATATACTTTATACTCTTTGTCTGGGATTATGGTTGGCCTATTACGTGACAGTCGAAGCCTATCAAAAATTAAAATGTACCCATAGTGATTCGCCCTTCTTTTGTATATTTTGTTAGTCTTACTAACTATACCAGCACCGGTTGCTATTTGCTTTCCGATAACGTTATACAACGCCATTATTGCTTCAGTGGGTGTAGACCGCAAATCCCCAGTGATCCATAATAGAGCAATTCTTTGCAGCTTTTTCAGTGAAAAAATTGTTGATTTCTTAGTTTCAATAGACCAGTAGATAAGAACCACATGTAGCAGTATAGCCCTGACCAAGACAGTAAAGAGTCAAAGTACTATACTAGGTGGCATGCGCCTTTTACGCCTGATTGCACCTTTCCGGGTATATATGGCGTTGGTTGATTTATAGAGCCATGATGTGGTAGGAGATAGGACCGCAACTGTCCGGTGCCTCTGCTGGCGAATCTACGCGTTTTTGTTGCTGTAGCAGCAGTGCTCAGCCTTCTATTTTGTATCCTTTTCATCCTCCGGTTCGGCATACCTGAAGCGAGAAAGCGGGCGACGTCTATGCGACCAGTCCATAATACTTTCCGGTCTCAGCGTCTTCGTGTTGTAAATGCATCGCAGGTGTTGGGTGTCGTGAGGACCTTTCTATGCTGGGTAGCTGTTTTCTGAGTCTAGCCGAGAGAGGCAGCTGTTGAGTCAAATTCGCAACGAAGCTGTGCTAGGTTGCAGTTGGTCTCTCTCGGCAGTTCAACTGGCTCAATGTTAATGGGTTGCGGTCAAACTCCGATAATAATGTTGCCCATACAGGTGCTGCAGCTCGTCCTTGCAGCGTCGACATTTAGTTTGTCAAGCGCTTGGTTTATGACGCTTCGTCGAAGAGCTGACCTACGTATGGTTCAATTTATGCTCTCTAGCCATGTAGGTTGCAGGAGGGTTCCTATGGCGACATACTACGATAAACGTGATGTCGTGAGGTAATGCCCAGACGACAAGAGATGGCGGCCTATAGTCGTACGTAGAAAAACATTCTGGTGCATTTTTAAATCACTCGTTCCTGACGACCACCCTTGCATTTCTAGCAGAATCTCTTTGTCGGCTCCTCAGGCACATTCGGTATGCGAGTTAAAGACTTTGTTTCGGGCAAGTAGTTCGTTACAGATGGCGGAGATATGGTTTACACGAAGGCATTTTTGGTCAATGTAAACAGATCTGCACCGTTCGTTCGATTTTCAAAAAGGAGGCATGGCCTTTAGATGGGCAATGAGCTTTAATTTTTTCAAAAAGACTTGCCACCTATTAAAAAAAATATAGGTGTTATACGAAAGAAGTTTAAGTTTAAGTTAGTTTGCCAAACGAAAGTGTGTTAAGAAAACTTCAGTTTGAACATTAAGAATATTTTCAAAGTGTTTTTAGAGTGTTTCCACCTGTTTAAAAAGTTTAAATCTAATTACTTAATATGTTGAATGAATTATTAAAAGATGGGTATCAATCGAAATGGGTTTGAAAAGGCTTAATTCTGAGCATATTTCGGAGGGTTTCCACGTGTTTCAAAAATTAAATTGAATTCGAAATAAAGCAACTAAGTTATTGAAACATGTATTACAATATTGTGTTAGACAAGAGAGGTTCGAGAAGGTTTTAGTTTGAAAAAATTTTGAAGAGGCTTGATATCTAGGCATCCTGGGGCTATTCA